AAAAAACTAGTACTTATAATCCAAAATAACTAGTTGAAAATTTAGTTGATTATTAAATATTTAATTTCCAGATATTTAAATTAAATTCATTCATGTATAAACCGAAGAGGCAAATTTTTTAGTGACATAGAAACATTTTTAATTATTCTTATCTAATTTGCGCACATGAAAAATTTTTTTTCTGTTTTCAACCACAGTAAAATTAAAGAATTCCTTTTCCTTTTAAAACTTATACTTATCTGAAGGCATTTGAATATTTAATTTAAAGCAACAATTTCTTTATTGAGATATAATTCACATACTATAAAATTTGTACTTTAACAACTCAGTAGATTTCAGTAGTTCACAGAGTTGTGCAGTAATTACCCCTGTTGAATGCCGGAACATTTTTACTGCCCCAGAGTGAAACCCCGTACCCACAAGCACTCATTCTCTATTCCCCTGGTCTGTGGTGACCACAAATCTACTTTTTGTCTCTATGGATTTGCCTATTTTGTAAATTTCATGCCAATGGAAATATAGTATAACTGGCCTTTTGTGTCTGGCTCCTTTTACTTAGTATAATGTTCGCAAGGTTCATCCATGTCGTAACATGCATCAATTCTTCATTACTTTTTATGGCTGAATAATATTCGGTGGCATGCAGTTATCACGTTTGTCCATTAATCAAGTGATAAGACATTTGGTTATTTCCACTTTTTGGAATTATGAATAATGCACCAATGAACATTCTCGAACATATGTTTTCACTTCTCTTTGGTGTATACCTAGGAATGGAATTGAGTTTATACTGAGTCCTATGCTAACTCTATGTTTAAGTTTCCAAGGAACAGCCAAACTTTTCTACAAAGACTTTTCCATTTTACATTCCTACCAGTAACGTATAAAGGTTCCAACTTCTCCATATCTTTGTCCAAACTTGTTTTTGTTTCATGTATTTTTTGGGGGGGGTACCATGTTATTTTGTTACATTATTGTATTCTGCTTTTTTGAAAATTGATTTTCCCATTCCATTGAAAGATAAAAGTTTATTTGAGGTTGACTACTAATTTAGAGAAAAGTTAATACTATGACACTAACACGTGATTGCTCCTTCACAGTAATCCGCTAATATTGGTACCATATGTAGAAATGAACCAGATGAATTTAGCACCAGCAAGTGTTTTAAGTTAGTATTGTGATATGATTCATAGACTAAATATTTCATTTTCATTCTTAATGATCACATGCAAAATAACTGATACAGTGAATTTCAGATGAGCTGTCTTCCAAATTTTCGTAACATTTTGGACTCATAATACTTCATTTAATCCATTGGCATTTACCCTCTACTCTGTCAGGCACTGTGCTTGGCTCTGGGAACAGTGATGAACTAGACAGATGTGGACCTTTTGTTCTTGGCACTCGTATTCCACTTACGGAAACAAGCATGTGAACATAATCACAGATTGTGGTTTGGTTATGGAGGAGACCAACAGGATATGTGAAAGAGAATGCTCCAAGTTCGTAAATCAAGGAAGACCTCTCTGAGGAGGAGATTTTAAAGCTAAGACCTAAAAGATGATTAAGAGCTCGCCATACAAGAGCTGGGAGAGAATACTGCAGGTAGGGTGTTGGAGCTGGGAAAGAGCTTGGCTTATGCAGAGGTCTAAGTGAATGCCACTTTGGCTAGTGAGTGAGGAGGAAAGAATACCGTCAGAGGGGACAGGAACCAGGTCCACTGGGACCATCTGGCTGTGGTAGGGAATTAGAATTAAATCCAGTGTGGTGGGAATCCATCAGAGTGACAGGATTGATTTACAGTTTTGAAAGATCACTCTGGCTACTGATGTGGAATGGAAGTGTGAAGACCAGCGAAGAAACTGTTGCGGAAGCTCAGGCAAGAGATGATGGTTTAGATTAGGGTAATGACAGTGGAGATGGAAAGAAATGGACAGATCTCAGAGGGACTTTTGGAAATAGGATTTGCTTCTGGTTAGCTATGGGAGGCAAATGGACTTCTTTTTTTTACCAACATGAAAATCTTTTACTCTCTGAGTAGAGGAGGTAAAATTAATTAAAAGCTTTCCTTTTGTTATTTTTGTCATTTTAAACAGACTTGAAAATAGTTCTAATGTTGATTAGGGCTTTCTTTTTAGTCATTAAAGGTGATAGGCATCGCAGCTTTAACCAAACCTTTTTAGCAATGTCCTAATCGCGTTTCTATGCATAATGAACATACATAGTCTGCTGTTAGTCTTAAGACTTTTCAGTACTGTCACATAATCTCTCGTTGGATCCTCATGAAATTGCATGATGTCGGAGTAGGTATCAGAAATTAGCATCGAAGGCTCATGAAATGTTTACTAGGTGTTGTGCTCTATTCTGAGAGGTTTAGTGGGATATATGTAAGGACATTTTCATTTCTGTGGAATAGATACTATTTACAGATAAGAAAAGTGAAGGACAGGGTGGTGGTCGTGGGATCTCGTACAAGTTTCTTAGCATTCTTCATCTGTCTGTGCCAATATATTTGTCTGTAAGTCCAGCTCCTCCACACAAGTCCATTTCTTCTTAACTACTCAAGGACATCGCTCTTGAAATTCTGTTCTTCTCTCCTCTATCATCAGTTTTTTTCCCCCTTCTACTGGATTATTCCTTTTGGCATACAAACATACTAAGTCTCTATTTTTAGTAAAACAAAAACATAGAAGTAAAACAAACAAGACCCTCTTTTAATTCCACTTCCCTTCTAGCTATTGCTGTTTCTTTCTTTGTCCTTAGTGCAAAACTCCTTATAAATTGTATATAGTCACTGTCTCCTTTTCGCTAATATCCATTCCAACTAAGTTTTTACCTTATTGCTCTACCAAGATTGTTTTTATCAAGATCACTAGTGATGTCTAAGTTGCAGGATACTTTGAGGAAATACCGAAATAAATAGTATGAAAGGTCACTGTAATAACAAAGGCCTAGAAATGCTCAAATATCCATTAATAAACTGTAGTACTTCTGTATAATGGGGCATTATGCACCTGTCAAAAGAATGGGGAAGATGCCTTAGTACTGCTAAGGCGTAATCTCCAGTGGGTATTAAGTGAGAGAACAAGCTACGAAAGAGTAAGTATAGTGCACGATCTTTGATGTGAGAAAAGAAGGGAAATACTGTGTGTTGATGTTCAGGTTTGTTATGTTGTTAAATGATGGAAGGGTAATTCAGAATTATGGAGGGAACACGGACAGAAACTAAAACCTCTTTGAATGTACCTTGTTTTATAATTTTTACTCTGTTGCTGTATAATTTAAAAAATTTAATAGAGGAAAGTAACACCTAAATAGTAACACAATAATTTTAGTAATTTAATGTCGAGATGGTAACATAATTACAAGAGGAATTATCTCAAGTAATTTCAAAACAGTATTTTAATTATGTATTTTTAGTGGGATATATGTAAGGACAGAAGAAAGCAATCTTAACCTTCATCCAGTACTGTTGATATTATTTTGAGATTATATATAGTGGGATAAAACATATAAGTAAGTTTGCTAATGGCATATGTTAATGTCATTAGCAGGTAAGACTTTTAAGATGAGAGAAGATAAAAATAAGAACCACTGCACTACTAATTTAAACTGGAAATATCAGTACGAATTCAGCATTTAAATTAGTTTCAAAAACACATATTTTCTACCTGTATTAATAAAGAATCTTAGAAATAATGACAAGTAATAGTAAAGTTCTCAAGTACTCTTAGATCCCAGATTTTGGTTTTTAGATACCATTTCCCATTAAAAGGAATCAAGGCCCCCAGAGCAATGGCTGATAAATGTGGGCAGAAAATGTGGCAAATAGACCAGAGGCATTTTGTGCCTGAAAGCAAGGGAGCTATTTGAGACTACAGAGGTCATGTCAAAATGACATAGGAGCCAACTCGAAGGGACACCTACTGACCAAAAATGATACAGTTTGAGGTCTGAGAAAAAAATGGCAGTGCATTGAAAAACATAAAATTCCACAAGCTCATAATGATATTTAAACCAAAACCCTTGATCTTTGGTACCTAAGGACCCCTAAACCACAGTACGACATTTTCTATTATGATTGTTTTTAATATAAGACCATTTTTTAATGAGCCATGCTGCATATATATAGTCTATATAAAAATTGTTATAGTTTTGCTTGAATTTGGCTTAATTAACAGTTGTCGATACAGCTTCTATTTAATTGTTTTAACAGACTTCAAGGAACATTTGCCTGTTTCTCAGTTATGAAATAGGAGGTCTTATGGGGACTATACATAAATGCTTTAATTTTAGATATTTTAATGCTAGCAATGGGAGCATTCAGCAGATTTATCATAAGTGCAAAACAGAGCAGAGATAACCAGAACGTAGTTCTTACTTTTGGTTGCATGTAGAGATGGCAACTGAATCTCTATACTTGACTCGATTTTTCTTTAGTCTTGTGATTTTGAAAAATGTGCAAAGGTATTCGTGAGAGTGGCAGGAACAATAAAAACTAGAATAGTTACCTAAAGCTGTAACTAAATCCAACTGGCTCTTGAATTAAAGCCAATAACTTGTTCTGCATGATGTTAATAAAGGAGAAACTAAATCTTACGTTAAATTAAATCTTACATTAATTAAAAAAACTGACAAAATGATGCAAAATAACTCTGGTGAGCTTGAAATTTTATCCCATATTAATAGAAGGCCAGCCACCTTCTCATTGATAGCCTCAAGAGTTTTAATAATAGTCACACATGCATTGCATCATGGCCGAAAAGACAAATTTCCAATTTACTTTTTTTCTGTTTTTAAAGAAAATAAATATGCTACCCTTTGCTGACCTCATACGTGTTAAGTGGAATTTGGAAAAATAAAATTTTTAAATTATGTCAGTTTTCTGTTTATTTGTGCCTAAAGAGAGTTTACTTTACTCATATTTAGGCATGTTATTCCCGGCCTTCATTTTGTATGGTTAGAAAAAGTTGAATTCTTTTCTTTGTCCCATTTCTTAGTTGACGAAGGATCAGAGATTGGTGTATTCGGGCAGACTGCTTCCCGATCATCTGCAGCTGAAAGACATTCTCAGAAAAGTAAGCAGATCTCTACACGACTCGATTCCAGACACAGAGTGAGACGAGCTATGCTGTGAAATTTTATCCATCTCCACCAGTTCAGTTTTAGATTCTTAAAATGAACCCTTTTGGGTGGCCCAGCAGGTAACGTGAACCAGAAAGTGAAGAATGTAATGAGAGATTCTGATTAGTTTAGGTAGCAGTTTTGTATATCTGTCTGAAAGCTAAACCTGAAATAGGATTATATATTTGTGTTCAGATCATTGTCATCTTGTATAAGAAAACATTATCGATTTGTCAGTGGTATAGGTGTTCAGGCAGTGGTAAAGGGTTTTCATTGATAACAGTCTCCTCTCTTATATCCCCTTTGACCAAACTGCAGGACATTTTAATACAAGTTGCTTGGGTTAGGAGTTTAATTTTAGGGCAAGAAATAAAAGAAAGCTTGACTGGCCTATCAGTTAGAGAACTTTGAATGCTGGCACTTCAAGCTAAAATGTATTTCAATATCGGTTTTTGACAGTCAGCCTGAATGTTTTTTAAAGGGCAGCTTTTAGCTCATGTTCATTTTTGGAATTTATAATTTTTAGAACTTTTCTGCGTTTGAGGTACTGTTTTTTGTTTGTGAATGTAGCCAGAGTGAATAGATAGCTTTTATTTTTTGCCTTAGATCGTTAACTTAATTCCTAATGTTGTTCTGGATATCCCTGATCTGATTAGATCTATATCCTCTCCTGTATGTTTATGATCACCTGTGGGAAACTTTAAAACATCTTATACTGGTATACTCCTTCTGTTCAGATAGTTGACATTTTAGCTTTGCTGGCATGACTTCTTGCTGTCATTTTCATTTTAATCATGTAGTTTCAGGTTGCCAAAGTGGTTTAATAACCTCTTTCTCTTAAAAATAGTGGTATTCACACCAGATATTCCCTTCTTCCCTTTCTTTTTAATAGACTTTATTTTTTAGTGCATTTTAGGTTCACAGCAAAATTGTGTGGAAGGTACAGAGATTTCACATATATTTCCTGCCTCCACACATGCACGGTGTCCCCCACTAACAACATTACATATCAGAGAGGTGCATTTGTTACAGCTGGTGAACCTACATTGACACATCATTGTCACCTAAAGCTCGTAGTTTACATTAGGGTTCGCTCTTGTACATTCTGTGGGTTTGGACAAATATATAATGACACAGATACACCATTATAGTATCATACAGAATAGTTTCACTACCCTAAAAATCCTGTGCTTTTCCCCTGCTTTTATGCTTATATGCTCTTCGGAATAGAGAATTATTATTTTAGCTGAAGGATAGCTAGAGTCTACACACGGGTCCTTTTAAAAAGGTTTTTGTTACCAGAAATGGGTTCTGACCAGAAGACTTAGAATAAAAATGCTCCAATCAAAAGACTGTTGTGCTCCTTATATAAAAACATTTGAATAATATGTTTAAACTTTGAATAGACCTTGAACCGTTTTTGTTAAGGTCGATATACCCCTCCTTTTTTCAATTAAAAGCTGCCATTAGCTTTACCTGTTTAGTAATAAAATGTTTTACAGAAACAGTCCCCAAAGGTGAATGAATACTGTGAATTAATTGTGATGAATATGACCTTTGAAACTAGGTTACTAAGAGTAAGCATTTTATGCTTGGTTGCTATTTAATGTTCTATATTCCGAGCTCAGGGGACATTGTAAATCAGGTGTGCCTTCTACCTGCCTGCTAGGCACATCTCTGGGAATGCCTTTTCTTAGCATTCTAACCCCCCATTAATGCCTTTCCCCAAACTCCTAAAGCAGTTGTGGCTTGTGCGTCTCGGCTTTGTGCAGAAGACGTATGTCTCTAACTGTGCTCTCATGTGCTAGTCTGATCTTCTAACGATGTCATGAACCTCTCTCAGGCAGGGGCCGACTCTTGCTCTTTCTGGAATTCACCTCAGAGTTAAGCACAATTTTAGATTTATGGTAGGCAGTTGACAAATTCTTACTTTAGTAGCTTTGTTTCTCTTTCTCACAACTGGGCATCTTTATTTTTCTTCCTGCTCTCTTTTCTTTATCACCTGTTTTTTTCTTTTCTTTTTTAAAAATTGCTGAGCTACCTGTGTTCTTCTCTGCCATTCTTTATTCTCTTTCCTTTCACCATCTTATTTACTTGCTTCATGCCTAAGTATAAATATATTCATGAAATCACTAAACTAAAATGCCAGTTCTATGTTATTAGACTATTTTGCTTCAGTCGTAGTTGTAGGTTTATGGAAACACTTAGAATATTAAAGAATATAGTTCAAATATATGCCTTATATAAATATAAGTGTGGTAGGTAAAATCAGTTTTTGACTTAAAAAATAAGTGATGTGTCATCTTGATAAAATTAAGGCAAATGAGATTATGGCGAAGTTGTGTTTATTATAACTACAAAGTCTTAAGTAATGGAAATAGTTTCACTACTTGTAGTTAGTACTAAGCTTCAATGTGACAGTTACGGTTCTGATATGAAGTTGCTAGATGTTTTTATATTGAAATAATCACATTGACTTGAAGCAGTGTTTGCTTCAAGACTCCTTAGTATACAAAGTAATCATTTTTCATATAACAATTACTGAGTATTTAGGCCATTTACCAAACATGGAGAAAATATCAAACTCAAAAGGGCCCCAAATTCTAAAATGGTAAATTTACCGTCAAATGACAGTTCATTACTAATAAAATTAAATATTTCACCTTAGATACTAACTTTTTAAACTGTACATTTTCCAATACTACCCTTTAAATGTACTCTTCTTTAATTTTAGCAAGATGAGTATCATATGGTTCATCTAGTATGTACTTCTCGGACTCCTCCCAGTTCTCCAGAATCCAGCAGCGGTAGAGATGGTCATGAAGCATTGGCATCCAGCAGCAATTCTGTGAGTCATTTTGGGAGGAGTAAACATTGAAGTTTTCCGATTATCTTTTTTTGCCTCTGAAAACTAAGTGAAAAACAGAACAATTGGAGCTTTTAGGTTGTAAGATTGTGTTTTGAACAGCTTGAGTAAGGCATTTAAACTTTGTTTTTAGAGATCCAGTATACAGTGTTATCCCATGAAGCCTGTTCCCCATGAGTAATAATTTGCCGTAGGGTAGGTCAGGAATAGATCCAATTTTCAGGGGTGTAATTACTGAAATACTTAGAAAACAGATTTATGATGTAGTTATATAACATGAACTCTTATAGCCGGTAAAGTTTCAGAAATATTTAAGGTGTTTAATATAGTACATTTTATTCAAAGTGGGTTAAATTATTAAAATTTTAAGTATGCTAAGTCTTCTTGAAGTAGATTGCTTGGTCAGGAATTTTTTTTTTTTTAAGTAACAGGATTTGGGCATACATTCCAACCACAGGAGAAGTTACCTACGCAGCTCTTTCCGACTCTGGTGTTCATTTCTCCCTACTTATTTTTTTCATTTACCTAAAATTGTTTGGAAATTTTTCTTGCTAGTTGAACTTTTCAACTTAGACATACTCTACGCATTTTAAAGACACTGTCCAAAATCCTTTTATGTTGAAATTATTTTTAGTTTCCCATAAAAGCTTTATATGGTACCTTAGGAGTTAAGACAAAAGAATTGGATAAGTGGAAGCTTGCTTTAAACTTCCCTACTTGTCAAGAATCTAACCAAAACTTGAAGGAGAGGGATGAGTGGCAGAGGTGATAGCTAGCTGAAGGATTTTCCAATAGATACTAGTTAACTGCTTTTTGAAGAACTAGATCCTCTAGTTGCTATATTTAATTAGTATGGCCTCCATGGTAAGTATTCTCTAATAACAGTCATGGGAATTTAGCTTACATTAAACTGCAGTATGTTTTGTCTATGAACCCAAGGGTCTTGATAAGCTTCCTACCTTGCATAAGAAGGGACAACATCGGCATCAGCCTAAAGTTCTGTATTTAGTCTTTGGACAGTTATGTTACTCTAGTTTTTGTTTAGAAAGAATCCTCTGACTTGTGGTTCTTCAGCCATGATTTCATATCACTAGTATATCTAGATTTTTTGAGGCATCTTATGAAAATCTAAAAAGTTTCAAAGGAAAATTAAGTCGAATTCCCCTTAATTTTTTATGGCTGAGAAATTTCAGTGAGATTGAAAAATGTCTTAAAAATCTAGTCATGAAAGAGTTACCTAATAAGATCAGAGATCATTAGTTTTAGAGAAATTAGGCTGTGCTACCCAATGGCTAGGCCTTTGTTTTAACCACCTTTCTCATGTCCTTTTAAGGAGAAATTTGCCCCAAAAAGAACCTTTCCCAGTTTATTACCCTAAGAATCAGACTCCCTAGTAACATATTTAGTATCCGTTTTGTATGGAGTAACACCTTGAAGAAAGCTTTTGTTTCTTTCGCAAAGCCCAGTGTCCCTGGGGCCTTTCCCACACAGGATTTAGGGAGGTATTCAAGCTGGAAGTCCTCCTGTCCATGAGAAGGTCTACAGGGAGAATACAATTTAACATACCTGGAGGGTGTTCAGATTATACTGTCCCTTGCTGTTTAAAGTGCAGGAACTATAATTTATATAAAATGTAATTGTTTTTAAAATTTATACAAGACACTTGACAGACTCTTTCCAAAGAGCAGCAAGTTAAGGTGGTCTTCAGGGGGTTGTGCTGTTTCAGGTTGCTGAATCTGTGAGTTCCCAGCATCATCGGAGTGTGAGAATTTTAAAATCCTGATTGGCATCTTGTTCATTTTTTTTTTAAAAAAACAGTATTTGTTGGTGGTTTCTATAAATTAACAGAAGTTTAGAATTGAAAGGAATCTCGAATATGTAGTTCTATCTTATTTTTTGTAGGAAAGTGAGACTCAGAGGTTAAGTGAAATGTTAAGGTTATGTTCCTTGTTCATGTCAGAGGTAACACCAGATTCTGGATCCTCTGACTCCTAGCGTGTTCCTCACTATTTCAAACCAGTGTGTTACTAATAGCATGTTATACGGTACCTGACACATAGTAAGTGTTTAAATGACACAGGAATTAGTACCGTCATTGAGCACTTCCTATGTTTTAGGCCTGTGGAAAGAGCTGTGCGTGTGTTAATTTAATCCATAATTTTGTATGCTTTAATTTCATATACAATTATTTCATTACTTAGCCTTTTCTGGTTGAGAAATGAACTGTTGTATAATTAAGGTCTACTTATCTGGGTACAAGATTCAAATTAGTTAATTTCCAAAAAAAAATTCACTCTTTGCAGAGGGATTTCATAAATACAGTTTTAGCAATGTGTCTGTAATCTCACAGTTATAATGAATTAAATCTCCTTGAAAAAAATATCCATTTCTGTTTGCAGAGTTCAGATCAGTCAGGATCAACAACTCCATCACCCAGTCAAGAAACCTTACCATTAGCTACCAGTTCTTCCTCAGAAGGACTGAGGCAACGCACCCTTCCACAGGCACAAACTGACCCAGCACAGAGTCATCGGTTCCCATATGTAATGCAAGGGTGAGTGAAAGGGCGAGTGGTAGCTGCGGGCCACTTATGATCTGTCACTCGTGACTTTCATGCTAGCCCTGTGCGGTAATCAAAGTACATTCGAAGTTTACTCATATATCTGGTTATGAATTTCGAGAATGAGAAGGTCGAGTAGGATAGTGCTTTTGAAAGCTGGTCATACATCGAAATTATCTAGGGCAGTATTTTTCGTTTTTAATGTTTGCGCTAGTCACCTGGGGATCCGGTTAAGATGCCAGCTCTGATTCACTAGGTCTGATGGGGCCTGAGATTCTGTGTTTCTGACAAGCTCCCTGAAGATGCTGATGCTGCTGATGCTCAGACCATACTTTGAATAGTAAGGATCTAGATAATTAAAAGCATTTTTTTTTTTTTTACTTTGCCTTACTATAGATCTATCCAAGTTAGTATTCTGGGGAGCAGATGGGTGAGCGGGTGTTCTTTGAAGAGAGTATGGGGCCTGGTAATCTGTTTCCTAAAAATTCCAGAAGTGCTTCTGATCTACCAGGCCTGGTAGCAACTGAGACAGAATAAAACTGTGAAGTATTATAAACAATATGCTAACTGTCGCATATTATGCAGAGCCTTTATTAGAGGACTTTACTTAAGCTTGCTATGGCTTCCTTATATTTAGCAAGTACAGTAGGCCTCTTAGGTTAGGCAGTCTCGAGGGAAATGCACCCAGCAGCCACAGTACACCTTTCAGACAGCTCAGAGGGTGGGATCTTGGAGAGTGCGGTTTGGACCTGGCTTATGTCTGAAAGTAGAGTACTTTTGGAATAAAGGAAACATGAGTAATAGGTAATGATATCGGTTTCGTGTTGCATATCATGCTGTAGGACTGCAGTGTGTGGCAGCGCTCCAGATCCACCATGGTGAGGCTGGAAGTAAGGAAATGGTTAGGCACAGAAGGGTGGTGTCAGCAGGATGACCCAGGCGCAGCCACCGATTGCCGTGCTAACAGGATGGAGAAACATTCATGTACTTTTACTCAGAATGTCAAGCTTAATTCAGTTCTCAATGTAGAAAAACAAAGCTGAGTATATATAGCAAAATACAAGAAAACGCATTTGTCTCATGGTTCTTGAATGTGAAGCTTTTCCTCTAAAAGTAAGTGTTTAGATGAAGTTGATTGTAGACTTTTATGAAGCACCTGTGAAATTATTTTTGTTTTTAGAAAATGATTACCACAAACCCAAATTTAGTTATTGGTAAAAAACAATGTTCTCAGGGTTTACATTATAAATAGTAGCTTAAAATACTTTTAATCTTCTGACAGTGATTCTTTTCCTCTCTTTTTTGCAGAGTAAGATAGTTCAGTTCTCTCAATTTGTGTGGAGTGACTTATTTGGTAGCGGTAGTGGAAAGTGAGAGTATTATGCATATAATAAACATAGAAGAATATATAACAACATATTAACAATGGTTATCTCTGGACAGCAAGGTTCTTAGCTTTCTCATTTTGTAATAAATAAAACAAAGCTTACAAGATTGCAAGCCCTGAGAATAAGACCTTAGATACTTGGGAAAAGATTAATAGTTTCTCTAAACTAGACTGTTGAGGAAATCAACAAACGTGAGAGGCAAAGACATTCACCTCTTAGCAGTATATTAAAAAATTTACAAAAATCTGAAATAGTGTTTATTTTGTCAAACGTGAGTGTTAAAATGATGAACAATAAACTCTTTAAAGATATTTGAGCTTCACTTTGGGAATCTATTACTGGATAAATAATGTGTGGTTTTAAATCAGGAAGGCAGTGTAGCTTGGTGGCTGTACAAATTCTGGAGGCAGCCTACCTTGGTTTGAGTTTTGGCTCTGTTCACTGACTAGCTTGGGCAAGACTCTTCTCTACTTTGCTTCAGTTTGCTTACGATAATAGTACTTATCATACAGAATTTGTGTATAGATTAAGAGTTACACCAACTTTGTGGTCTAAGTATTATTTTCTTAATGTTACTGATAAGGAGAAGGAGGCTTAAAAATTATGTAGCTTGCTTCAGTGGCCAGTGGCAGAACTAGAATTCAAATCTGTATCTGACTTGAAAGTTTGTATTCTTAACAGTCTTGTTGAAATGACTCATTTTGTCTGTCTTTTGTTTCATTATTTTTTTCTAGGTTGCCATTTGTATTTTGACTTCATTTGTAATAGTAATACTTGTCTCCCTCTTCCCTCTAGTCAGATCTACTGGTCAGAGTTTAAGTATTGGTGACTGAGTAAGCTAATCTGTTTGTATAAGGATGTTGTGACTTTATTCACTGAAAATTTACTTTAGAATTTGCTATAGGCTAGGCATTGAAGGCAGGAAAATGAATTATGTACTTGCCCTCATGGAAGTAGGTCAGATAGGCAGATAAATTACCATACACTGATGTGCTGTCACGGTCTTGAAAACACCATGGGAGCCTGGAGGAGGAAGTGACTGTCTCTGCTTCAAGAGCTGGGGAGGGCTTCGTAGGTGGCAACGTAGGAGTTGAGTTTAAGGGAAGTTCAGTTTTTTCAGGGAGAACAGAGCAAGTGCAGAGTGTTGAAAAAGCCCATTCTGGGAACAGAGTGGTGATTGCACACAATGGCTGCATCACTGTGTGGGTGGTGGGGAAATAAAGCTGACTTGATAGGTTTTCTGTGAAAGAATTTGTTCTTGATTGTTGAAGTTTCTAGTTCCTTTCATCTCCTCTCCCTTATCATTCTGAACTCCAAAAACATACCATGGTTATCTTTTGGGATAGCTCTCAAGCATGTGTTTGTGAATAACAGCATTTCAAGTTCTTTGTTTTGTCTTAATCTCTGTTGTAATCCATCATTTCTACGTGTTTCCATGAACTTCCCCTGCTCCCCTTTTCCGTGTTTACTTTTTATCCTATGGTTCTAACTGGTTTGGCCTATCTGAAAAGGAATAAAAGATTGCCAGGACTGTGGTCACTTGATTCCTCCCAGTATGCATATGAGCAGCTTCCTTACTGTGACTTCCCTCAGGCCAGAGGGAGAGATTGGCCTCTTACTTGGTCTTCTTTGCATAAAGAATATGACATTTTAGATGGAGACTGACATATTATGCATTCAAAACACTTACATTTTTCCTGTGTTTCTGCTATTATCTTTGGCTCTGTTTGCCAAAAACAAAAAGCAAAAAACCCCCACTTAATTTTTTTGAATTATAAAAGCAACATATGCATATTAACGAGATTAGGAAAAAGCAATAAAGGAAGGGGGAAAATTACCCCTGTCGAATCATCTAGAGACAACTGTTTGTTAACATTTCATATTTCCTTCCAGTATCCTTTTCTTTGCAAATGTTTTTAATATAATTGTAATTTTTACCATATTAACAACATGTTTTCATTTAATGTTGAAATATTAAGTGAAAATTTCAAGTTATTACATAGTTGCTCCTTATCAGTACTTTATTCCAGTGTTTTCTTGTGTTCATATGAAGTTGTTCAGGATATTTATTGTGCTGACTGCTGGAGATATAATAACAGGTACAGCCCATTCCTTGTTCTTTGAAACAGAGTCTGGCCAGAGACACAGGAGAATGAACAGGCAGTTTCTGTTTTTAGTTGTTATAAGAGGTAATACATGTGAACGGTACCGTTTTGTTTAAATGAATTGTTTTCTGTGTATTATTCCAGGGATAAACTGTGTTTAACACGTGTGTGTGTACGTGTGTGCACGCACACTGGGTGGGTATATTTAACACAAGTAGTAGCATACTTCCTATACACACTGGCCTACGTTTAATTGTTTTGCTAAATATATTAGCATTGTCCCGTTAATAAATAAGAGCTGTCCTATTCTTTATTAAATGCACATTGCATAGATTGCTATAATTTAATGAACCAGTCCCCTATTGATATATATAGAGCTCTCTCTATGTATATATAGGTTAAACAGTCAGTATTTTTGTTCATTACTTTTTAAATTAAAACAATTTTAAACATTCACAGAGTATAGAAAATATTAAAATAAACTTCCATTTACCTAACACCCAGTTTCAATAACTGTTAACAGACTCCCGTTCTTTGTCTGTTCACTCCTCACTCCTTTTTTCTTGGGCTGGAGTATTTTTAAAACAAACCTAGACATATCATTTCATCTGTAAATACTATGTATCTGTAACAGATATGATAAAGACTATAAAAAATCCTAATCACAATACCATTAGAACACTCAACAAAGTTAAAAATTCTTTAATGTTTTCTAATACTCAGTTCGTGTTCAGTTGTCTGTGATTATCTCAAATGCGTTTTTATAGTTTTGATTGAATCACTGTTCAAAATCAGTGTTCAGAGAGGCTGACATACTGCATTCGGTTGGTGTTTCTTAAGGCTCTTCTGATCAAATCCCTTCTCCTCCTCTCCAGTTTTTTTTTTTTTTTTTTTTCTTTTTGCCTTTTTTTTTTTTTTTT